TGCTTGGTCACTCGGGCTGGCTTTTGTCGGGAAGCTGAAGCCACCATAATCATCTAGTCATACCAATCATGGACTCAGGATGTGGCAGGAAAACTATATAACTGGGACATCTGGGACCAGGGTCCTTGAGGTTTGGGATTTACCCAGATGGGCTTCCGCTAAAAAGCTTGGGCTTCTGACTGCTCATGGACATAGAGATCTGCCACTGCTTCTGTGCCCAGGTGCTGTGACCGGCGGTCTGGGACGCTTTGAAGGGATGCGGCATGCAAGGCGGTTGTGAGAGAGATGAGAGGCGATCAGAGGTTTTGTATTTGTCAATCTGTCATCTCGGTCTCTGGCATCCTCATTCCGAATCGGTAGAGTGGTAGAGGGTGCGCAATGCAAATCGAAGGATCAGAGAGTGTGTGATTGCAGGGGCTGGTGAACTTGACCACAAGCATTGGGATCATCCTGCGATTCTTTCTGATGGAAGCTACAATTGGGGACACATTTTTCGGCACTGCCGCAGTTTGGCCTCAAGATCCTCAAGCCTCATTGGCCTAATTAAAACTCAACATGGCGCCGCGCGCGGGCAAGACGTCGGTCGTCGCCTGGACGGAGTTCACTGGTGTGGAGCCAGAGACATGGCGTAGATTGATGTTTGCGTGCACGATTTCAGCACGCCGGGCTGCTGAGGGTCTCGAGTTGCAAACACTTGCACCAACTTGCGCCCCTTTAAGCCTGAAGTGGGATTGACTGAGCCTCAATCTTCTGTCAACGGACATGGACAACTGGGGCCTGGAATGTAGTTTCTATGCAAAAATGCAACGATGCACGTGCGTGATGGTCTGTCTGTGCAGGTCCGTGGGAGATCTCTTAACCCACTTCCATTGCATCTCAAGGGATTGAATCTGAATGATAGCAATCGTCTCTCAAGTGGCCATGTAGGAGGAGTCACACTCTCAGAAGATGGGTTGGCTTCAAGGGATCCCTTCCTTCAACTAGTTTACCATTTTTCTCGGAGAGAAGGCTTCTCCGAGTCAAGTTCGTTCCAAAGCCTCGCTTCCAGACTCAAAGGGCAGGCAGACAGGACGCTGTTGATGGAGAAATTTGCGCAGGCATGGAATCATCTAAATCATCATGTCCATTGACCTTTACATCGGCCTCTCCAAAAAAGAGGATTGAACAGTGTGTCCCCCAACACGCCTCTCTCGATCCTAGATGTTGTTTGCAATTCATTCGGAACATCTCATCTCACGCCGAGGAGATTGAACCTGTTGCACATCCAGGGTTGGTGGTAAAGGCCATGGAGGGCATGGGAGCCTCATGGACCATGGCACACCTGTTGGTGCCTTGGACCGCCAGGACTGGAAGAGACATGGAAGACAGCAGCGGAAGGTGGTGAATTCTGGAGCTGGCTGGAAGTGAATCATAACATATACGTCAGAATTCGGTTGGCAGAACCACGACTGAATCACGACAAACATCTATGCCAGCACTGACAGCACTACCAGCACTGCAGTTCTTTTCAACTGCTCGGAGCGTGGGTGCAGAGCCTAACATAGGTTTCCATTCCATCATTTCCACACCAACTACCTCTCAACTTGCGGACGGGAACTGCAGCCTGGCCAGCTCAGGCTGAGGAGGCGTCTCAAATTGCTTTGAGGGTCTTCCTCCTGGACAACTCGGGATCCACCTGCAAACCAGACGGCCACGTGCCACTTGGCCACGACCGCCATTGCCACACCGCGAGAGAAACTCACGGAACGGGTTGCGACGGGTGGGTTGCACGAGTGTTCTGTACGGCAGCTCAGATCATGGGATCTGAATCATGTAGAACTAGGAACTCTTTTTGAGATACCGATACCGGTCTTGCATCAAATTACCTGGTTCTCACTCCTATTGCTCCCCACCCATTGGAATGGCATCCACTTTGCACTTATGCCATCTTATGCCTTTGATATCGGCCACTCCTGGCACCAAGAGATTTTCGGGGCCTGTTTTGCGACTTCTCTCCTTCGCCTTTTACTTCACTTTATTAATTTTAGATGGAGCCCGTGACGTCCGCCTCAGGCTGCAGAAGACCCACCTGGGTGAGACCATGCAAGTGCCCTCGAGTCGATGGGATGAGATCGTTGCCATGGCCTTGGAGCAAGCGGAATGGATCCTCGGCGAAAAAAGAACATGGGGACACCCAGGATCGGCTGGACTATATAAATAGCAACCAACTACCCCTGGATGGAAGGATGGATGATCGCTTGCGCCAGGTAGTACTGGATTTCTTGTTTCAACAGGAGTAGACTGTATATAACAGGATTTCGAATTGCTTCCTCTTACTAGAATGCATGCCTTAGTGAGTCCAAGCATCGGCGGTCCTTGGCAATTTGGGTATTGAAGATGAATGAACATTGCGTTCCTGATGTCATTTTACTGACACCATATCTGATTGCTCTTTTGTACCAATACCATCTTATCCTAGCCGTAGCCTCAAGATGCTTCGTGCGCCCCAAGAGAAAAAACACCAAGCAATGATGCAAGAACCGGTAAAATGTCCAGAACTTTCTCGCGGGTTCTCACTTGCCAGGAACGCCTCCCTGAACGTGCGCTCCGAGTTTGTCCTCCTGAATCCTCCACACGGCGGCACCGAAATGCGCGAGGGGAGGGACTTCGTGACGGTGGACCCGGCGATGGGAGATCCCAAACAACAGGCGGATCTCCTCGGTGGAGACTGGTGGAACCAGGGCGGTTCTGATGCGAAGCACTGGGGAAGTTGATCTTTGGTAGTATGAAGACAAGACTTTCCAAGGTGCTTATAGCTCTACCGGGAGAACTTTTGCCTTGGGATTCAAAAGAATCCTCGTCCTCTTCCTTCATGTGGCCACCACATCTGGAACTTTGGAACCTGAAACTCAGTCCAAGAGTGAAAGGCTCTCGCAAAAATGGATCGAAAGCCACTGACCCATTGCTTCCGTGTTTTCAGAGACCGGTTCCCAAAACAGGTGGACCGCTTGGCCCAGCTCCTCAAGCGGAACGGCCCTCGCGGTCCGACCCCACTGGCGCAGCGCATTCGGCAGCTCAATTGGCGCCTGCAGAGGGAGGTGAAGGACCAGGGACCGGCGAAAGATGGCATTCAGATGGCAATGTATTCAGCATGGATTTGGAGCTTCTAGCTTGGTCTATTGGGTACAAGAAGGTTGTTCTGGCTGTCAAATCTTCCGAAGACACCTTCCTTGTTCTCATGATCTTAGGAACATCATCGTGTCAAATGACTTTCTCTTCTCTCGCCCCCGCTCTACCCACAGATTTCACATGCCTTTTTTAAGAGTGGATGCTTCTTGGCTCGCCGGGAGCCCTTGACCAGGCTTTTCCACTACCCGGTAGTCGCATCGACGGTGAGCGCTCGAGGATGGACGACGCATCATGCTTTCGGTGGTCACCGATGGCATCCCTACCTCGGCAAAGGGGGACCCCACGGAGACCTGGTTGGACTGCTGTAGCGTCGCAGCAGGGTCTTTCAGGGACCCAGAACCGATGAGGAATGTCCATTGCGCCATCTCCTTTTGCTTATCTTTTGCTTGGTACGTCCAGTAGCTACGCGAGCGTCCGGGAAAAAGGGTCGTACTGTAAGATATACGTGGAGTTCATTGAGGTTTTGTTGATTGGGCAGAACATGTGATTGGATTGGAGTTTATCAAGTTGTTTGTAGCAACCGGAGAAGGGGAATCCATCATGGTGTATATTCCTTGCCGTGCAACTCCATCTAAGGATGAGTTCATGAGAGAACTTCGAGGCTTTGTGGATCATTTGAATGCTTTCGTGGTGATTCGGCTGGCGACGGATGATGATGAGGTTGTATCTTGGCCCTCAACTAGAAGGACGAGGAAGAAGAAGAGGAGGACAAAATACTGTTCAGTAAGTGGAGGTGCTTCATAAAGTAGGGTGCAATAGTCCCAGGGGTACAATGGTTTCAGCGTCGATTGCACAAATTCCTTGATGTCCAAATACTTCTCCATGGGCGCGGCTGTCTTGAGAGAAGTCGCAACACCAAGGAGTCCTAAAATAGGTCCGAAAGGAGGCTTTACGAGAAGGTTTGCTTTCCACACAATCTTTGCTTCATAGAAACTGGCTAGGAGCAAGGTTCGCTACGAACAAAGGGCATCGCTACTAGGAGCAAAACACGCCACTAGGAGCAACACAAGCTTTAAGCTTAAAGACCTGGAACGTGGCCGGTCCGGAGTCCCCGAACAGATGGGCTGAAGAGACGGCGGTTTTTGGGCGTCCGCGGTAGGAGCATGACACCAACGACCATTCATCCAAGCCCAAAAAACTGTCAGACTCCAACGAGAGGCTTAGTAGAGACTTAGACCTTGGAAGGGTCGGGACATGTCTTTTGCAGATCTTTTGGATGGATGGACTAACGGAAGTCAGCAATACCAGTCACCCACGGGATCGAAGCGCGGCCAAACCCAAAGGTCGTCAGAATGTCGCAATGCTTATAAGAAAGAAATGGGACACCCGAAAAGGCAACGTACCGATTGAAAATGGATCTGAATCGACAAGTAGCTTTGTCATTTCACCGGAGAACTGACTAACCAGACGGCAACAAAGTCGACGCTGTTTTGGGCACCAAAGACTTAAAGATACCAAAGCCGTCTTCTTGCTCCTAGTAGTAAGGCCAGGAGCCCCTAGTAGCGCCCTTGCTCTTAGTAGCGATGCTAGGAGCCCCTAGTAGCGTCCTTACCAAAGCCATTGCTTTTGGGTCCTTTTCCAACTCTTCAGAGTCCTGGACTTTGGAAAGGTCGTGAAACTGTCAGGCACGTGGTCCCACTTCCAAGAGCACCAATTGAGTTTCCCATTCCTCACACACCCTGCTCCGAAACCCAAAAGGAGGCGGCACAGTTGAGTGGTCGCACGGTGAAATGGATGCAGGAAATCGAATAAACACATTGACCAGTGAAGCGTACCCTATGTCCCCAATGTTATGTGCATGTCGTATATATTAATTAGTATACATCTGCCTCATGCCAGATTCGACCTGCCAGAGCTATGAGGTGAAGTACTACAATCGCATCGATGAGGAGCTGGAGCTGCCCTTGGATATTCTGGATGACTTGACCGGGGAAGCCAAAGAGCTACATGAAGTGCCTGGGCATTCTGGGTAGGAAGCATTTTTCATGTGAACTCAGATAATAAAGCAGGTTGTGACCTAGAAACCATCAAGTTCTTTCTTGATGTAAGACTCCATGAAGTTTGGTCATGCACAAGCACCAGGCAAAAACAGCCTGGACAATTTACTTCCATATGTTCGGGGTCCCGTTTGTATTGGGTCCAGTTAAGCTGGGAGAAAGAAACCACGCTTGCCTGGTCCATGTGCCATTGAGCAGCTTTCGAGGCGCTGGGGGTTCTCCGCAAAACCACAACTGGCCATCCGGGGAAGAGCCAGAGGTCCAAAACCAGTGTCGAGCCTGCATTGAGGTGGGCAACGGATGGTTTGCCTATACCCCCTTGCTTCATCGAATCCGAGAAGGCCTGTGTCACAGCCAGACTTGGTCCTGCTGTTGCTGTTGCTGGTGGTGTCCGTTGCTGTTGTGGCGGTGGTTTGCACATGGCGAGATATGGTGAGTCTGAGTTGAACGGAATCTCTGGATATCCAACGTGGTGGCGATTCCAAATTCAATCCATACACCTCATGAGCATGAAATGCCTTTGCCTTTAAGAACAAGATTACATTGCCTTTTTCACTTGAAGATCAGAACTCGAGCTAAGCTCGCATGGTCCATCATACATGTGTCAACGTTTCAACTTTTTACAGATGCCAACATGTAACATTCACCTATGTATCTTTTATCCCAGATGATCATGTTGAGGGGCCTCCATGTCGCCGCAACTACAGGTGGCGCCCTGAATAAACTCTTCGACCTCCTTGATGAACGTGCACTGAAGCTGCCAGAGATTGCAGAGATGCTCGAGCCTCTCAACAGCGGAAATGGTGTTTTTTTTTGGAACAAGGACCTCCAGGATCAAAGCAAACTATGATCACCTCAAGCAGCTTCATCCCACCAAAATAAGTGGCTATGTTCCACTTATATAAGTTCGCACTTTCTATGTTTGTTTTGAGGCACATGGGCCATGGCAAGGACCCAATTTATCCTTCTTTGAGGCTCCAGTATGCCTGGTGAGATGGGAACCTTCTTACGGCATCAGATCAGTTCGATAGGTCAAAGCTGGAGGTTTGGCATCACATGCGGTGGCGGCGTAGGGATCATGGTTTGTTTTGGCAGGACCGCCGCTTCACTCATTCGTGCAGGTAAGTGCGTCCCATCCCACACGGCAAGTGAGTGACTTTTGGACGGCCCCCAAAGAAGACTTCTTTTTTGGGTGCAGATCCTATCAACAAGCAACTGTTCAAAGCACGACGCATCAAGAACCCTCTTACCAAGCTGATGTACTTCAGGCCCCTCATCTATTCGATCACATTAACCAGTCTCCGTTCGCGCAAAGATTGATGTGGATCATTCACGCATCGTCACTCGCCCAGTCGTTCACCCGAGTCACTTCTCCAGTCGTTCACTCGCCCAGCATCGCCCAGGCTCCTTTTCCGTCACCCCGAGGATCCCCCCTTCCCCCGCTGCCCTCGTGCGCTCTACGCGCTGGCACAGAGCCGAATGGGCATGAGCAGCTCCGTGTTCAATGGGCACCGGCAATGTATGACGCCTCCGGTGGACCTCAAGGCCATGGTTTATTTTTAAAGACCTTTAACATACTTCAACTATTTTTTATGCTGCTCATTTTGATTGTATTTTTATCCTTTGGGATTCTTTGGACCCTTTTTTTCTCCAATGGGTGGACTTCGAGGCCCAGTCGGTGAGTTGAGGACGGGTCCGAGGAGATCGCCTTTGAAACGAGGGAGATCCCAAGTGGGTGAGTTCGATATGATTTTTGCCTGGCCAAATAGCATTCTGGTCCTCGAGTTCACAAATGCCATAAAGCGACCCCTTCCATTTCTAAGGTCAGGCACCCGCAGTAGACGTACTGAAGCATACTGAAGCCATCCATCTCCAAGCTTTGCTTTTCCCTTTTCCCACCACCCTTTTCGCAGGCCTTGAAGAGGGCCTTGGGCTTAAGCAGCTGGCCACGCCTTCGAGCAGAGCTCATGAAGACTTTGCTTTGCGCCAAGATGACCACTGCGCCCTGACCTGACCTCTTCCTTTGGAATCCGGACGAGGATCTCAGTGGAAGAGCCGTGCGGTACCCCAGTGATGATCTCAGCGCGCGCCTGGTGATCGAGGCTAATGGAGGTAAGATTATCCTGTTGTAGGACTATGACTTCATCAAGTTCTGCTGACCTTTCCAGGGGTTGTCAAAGGAGTTTCTGAGAATGAGCAATGCACATTGATCCAGTCTGTACAGAAACATGTTGCCAAATCTCGAGGCCCTTTGATCGCTTCCAGAATGTACACAACAGTTGTCTGTTTGTTTGGAGTAAACTCAGTTTCTCAAAACTCATGGCACAAAAGCCACCAAATATCTTCTTTCGAAGGTTGAGGTGAACGCAGCAATGGCCTGATAGTCAGCAGTTTCTGGTCCAAACACTGCAGCAAGTTTTAAAACATCGAGTATCAAAACAAGCAGGGACTTAGGATGAAAAGGGCATGGATCATCATGAATCTGTATGCACATCCAGTGAGATTGGCTAAATTCCACATGTAGACAAAATACAACTATTTCCTCCACATGTGTTATGTACATGTTAACGTTATGTAGCAGTGACCAACCTTAGAAGACTAAAACTGCCTGTTTTGCAGACATGCGTAGCCAAACCAGAACTTGCAGCACTGACGAATCCAACTGTCGGGCCTGCAATGACAGATTCGGACGCGAGCTTGAAGCAGTTGGTGTCAAGAGGATGGAAATACCACCATGCAACCTTTGATTTATACCTGAAACTCAGCGGTGTTTTGTTATCAGCTTCGGCAGTCACCCATGTGGTCTTGCCCGAACTCAGACGGCTGGTGCAACAGGAGAGGCTTCACAGCAAAGGTGATGAGTTGAGAGTCAAGAAGGTCAATCTTGATCTCTCCAACACTGGACTCACAGATGTTGCACTGAATGCCTTCCTGTCTGCCTGGCAGACCTTAGGCATTTCCAGCTGTTCCCTTTGCTTCAGATTACAACGCAACCGTCTCACGGGAGTTTCCTTGGTGACCCTGGGACACTTCGTGACGGCGGAGTCCATTGGAACCTTGGAAGAGTTACATGCAACGCATCAGCTGGGGCCTGAGCTGTTCACCCGAACTTCGGTGCTGAGCTTCTTGAAGAAACTCTCCCAGTGCAGCAAATACCCCATCTGGGTGAAGCGACGGCGCTGCTTTCGACCGGTTCATCTGCGCTTGGGACACTGTGGGATTGAGAAGCCTGAGGAAATTGCTGGTGAGATGGAGAACCTTGTCAACATTTATGGAATTTCACTGCTACGACCTCTTGTTGTATTGGACATTTGCACTCTGAAATTTATTGAACTCTGGTCCCTTTGACAGAAAACCATGCTTCTTAGTTGTATTTTCTTGCACTTTACACAGTCTGTATAATGTGGGGAGCTGTGGATAGTTATTCATGGACCATTAGACATTTATAGTGTGACCTGCCCCTCAGTCCGGTCACGGCAGGAAAGATGGAGCCCGGATCTGCTTTGCAGATGACCAGGGCTGCATCCGCGCTGCTTGCGCGTTGGCGCGTCATGGCGCAGGATGTCCGGTGGCGCATTTGTACGACTTTCGCAACCAGGAGCTGCCTGCGGAAAGGCCAGAGCCACTGGGAGCCCCGGAGAGATTGAGGGAAGCAGAGCAGATGGAAGCGACGCTACAAGGAGAGAAGGGAAAACTCTTCCTGTGTGGATCATGTGAGAGATCTCTTCCAATCGACATGTTTACCCGATGTCAATTTTCCAAGGCCAGTAAAATGGATGAACATCGGGGGGGAATCGCATTTGGTGCGACGGTGTAATGAGTGCGTCACTCAGCCCTGCTGTGCCTGTGGTCAGCTACTGTCCCTGACCGCCTTTTCGGGGAGTCAGATGCTGCGACCACAGGGCAGCCGTCGTTGCAGACCCTGCACTCTGGAGACATGGTGGTGTGACCGGTGCTGCAAGCCCAAGGCAACCACGGAATTTTCCTCCTTCCAAGCCCGAAAAGGGAAGCAAATCTCCAAGGTGTGCCGAGGCTGCGAGAAGAGCAACCCTTATTTCGACCGGCGCCATGTTGTTTGTGCCATCTTCAGTGGCAAATTTACAGCTCCTCCATGGCGTTTGCCTTGCCTATCCAAAGAAATCCTGATGTCCATCTTGAGCTTCGCCAAAGAGTCCAAGTTCATAACCATCAATGGCTCAAGTTACAGCTGCAGTTTGTGTAACAAGACCAAATCCTTCCTGGCCAACGCTGGGGAGGATGCCGTGGAACGGCATCTCCGCACATCCCAGGTGCATGCCAAACGCCTCAGGAGCTTGGAGGCGGGTCATTTGGTGGAAGTGGCCAACTCTGGGGTGGAGCTGGACCGCTTCCGGGATGGCTTGGGACTCAAAGCAGCCTTTTGTGGAATGGACCAAGTGAAGGAAGCAGCCAGTCTCATTGATCTTTGGAGTGTGCAGCCAGTCTCAAAGCTCCTTCCCTTTCTGCGGCATGTTGGATGCCGAGAATCCGACTCAGGACTTCGATGGGCATCGCCTGAACAATTTGAGAAGCTGAGGGGTGATTTCAGCCACTTTTCCTCTTTTGCATTTTCTCCAATAGTTCTGATACCTATATAATCCCATTATATATATAGACCATCTATTAGACCTTCATATGTTTCAGATGGGTAGGTCAACTACTACCAACCAGGAAGGCTTGTGGACTGATGGAAGCCTCACATTCCGGACTCGAAGGGGACTTCTTTGCCAGCGCATCCATGCAAGACGTGGCGGAAGCAGAGGAAAGAGCACTGCAACAGAAACGCACCAAGGTGAAGATGCTGTTCCATCCAGGTGGGGGGTCCCCTCACTTGGGATGGTGGGATAAGATAAGATGACTGAGTAAATGTGGAAACAAATATGTTTCACACCTGAACTTGGATGCGTTGGATGGCCATAGCGCGTTGTGGCTGCTAGATTCTAGACACTACAACAGAATACACAGACATACACAGATAGTCAACCATCATTTATGGACCCGTTTGACCGCCATGTTTGATCATTTGAATATTACACCCACCATGCCGCCAGGTGGAGATTCAGATGGCTCAGATGAAGACGAAGAGACCGTTGCACTTCGACATTTCTTAGCCCGCTGAGACGCTTTCTTTGGCGACTCTGCCCCTCAGGGCCCATAAGCTCAACTTGCAGCACTTCCTCACGCAGATCGGGTGGAACTGAGAGACCGCAAGGGACATCAAGGGCAAGAACTAAGACGAAGCAAGAGCGTGGGCAAAATGAAAGTTCCTGTCTAAGATGGTTGCAATCTGGGAGCAAACCCGGGGCAAAAGAAACTCTTTTCCAACCTTTATTGAGTGTCTGATGGTGCACCGCTAGACGCAATTTGTGCTTGCTACTATTTCAATATAGTGCATTGCCATATACAAAGCAAATCTATTTATAGCGACGGAGTGAAAGATAGAATGACCGTTTGGCACCGCGCGGGAATGAAGATAGAGACCGGGATTCCCCGACGGAGCCACGCATTCTAACTGTTGAAGATAGAATGCGTCCATAGTAACAAGACCACATGTCAAGTAGAATATAGATAGTAGAATCAAAGAACTTGGAGTTTTAGTCCATAGAACTTAGCGGCATTTCTGGTTGTATCTGGCTGGATTGGGGGTCACTTTAGAGAGAGAGAGAGAGAGCTAGCAAAAGCATGTATCCGGCAAGTTAAGTGAGTTGGCAAGTGACGGGGTCTCACTCCAGAATTCCCTTCTGAACAGCTACCCCCAGGTATGTTCCCACTTGTATGCCTACCACTTGAATGCGTGGCAGCCGCGTGCAATCCCGGTCTCTCTCTTCATCCCCGCACGGTCCCAAAGGGTCATTCTATCTTTCACTTCGTCGCTATAAACATATTGAAACCCAACATCGATTGAAGGATCTACAAAAATCATCCAAGTGCTTTTGAGTCAAAAAGGAAAATAGAGTTTGGAGTCCTTACAAACGAGTTTGCAAGCACCAGCACGAACCAAACAATATGTACACGCATCTTCTGCCGACATATGTACGCATGCATGCAATTCTATGGGCATTCTATCTGTGGAATGACTGTGCACTGGCGGTGTGAACTCTTCCGACGTGTTGACAAGAAAAAAGGGGCAAGCCTTGATTTGGAATCCTTTCAAACAAGTTTGCTAGCACCAGCATCAACCAAACATTATGTACACACATCTTCTGCCCACATATGTACACATGCGTGCAAATTCTATGGGCATTCTATTTGTGGAATGACTGTGCACTGGCGGTGTGAACCCTTCCGACGTGTTGACCAGAAAAAGGGGCAAGCCTTGATTTGGAGTCTGTGGTAACTAGCTTGCAAGGAAACAAGCACTCAAGCAAAGCAAAACACACGCTCACAGACCCTGGCAAACGATGATCCACTCACATCATACCTCTTGTGGAAGCACCATGCCAAGAGTGTGTTTATTTGAATGAATATACGTGTCTACATGTGGCGTGTCCTGAGCCGGACCACCAGCAGAGGGTGACCAAGTTGTCAGCTGTGAGTGTTGTTTCTGTGGATATTGTCTATCAATTCTAGAAATTTATGCGCCTATATATGTGTGTTTTGTGTGTTTTCCTTTTTGTATATATGTGATTATATATGTGCATATTCAAAAGTATGTCAAATGTATGTGCATTCTATCTGTGTTTTGACTGCTTATTCTCAGTGGAACTCCTTTCAAAATGGTTCCCCAAAATGGGGCATTCTAAGCGGTGGCATTCTAAGACTATTTCAGGCGCATTCTATCTTCGGGGAATAATGATTTGGGATTCGCCACCCCATTCTATCTTTCACTTCGTCGGTATATCTAGCAGCATTTTTTGGGCAACGGGGAGTGGGAATGAGTGGGAGCAGATGATGAGGCAACAGATTTTATCTCTGTTTTTTTCAGGTCCTGTGGCCATGTCCGAGCTTGGCTACTGGCAGGCTGGGTGCAGCAACGCTGGAGAGAAGTGAC